TCCCACAATAAGGTGGGAATTGCTCTGGAAAAGGACACCACCAAATGGCCTGAAGAAAAGCTGAAGAAGAAGGCAAAAGTAGATGAAGAAGCGCATAATTTGATTATCATGAACCTGCCCGACATCGTGCTATGGAAGGTGGATGGCTTGGAATCTCCAATCACTCTCTGGGGTAAACTCGAATCTTTATATGCTCTTCAGTCAGCACCTAATTCAGCTTTCTTAAAAAGTGCATTGTTCTCATATAAAATGGACATAGCTAAATCTTTAGATGAAAACTTGGATGAATTTCTAAAGATGACCCTAACTCTAACAGGTACTGACCAAGAACTAGGAGACTCTAGTCTTGCCATGATTCTGTTAAACTCCCTGCCAGAAGAGTATCTATTTGCACAAAATGCCTTATAGTATAGTGGCACAATCCCTAGTGTGGATTTGATAGTTTCCGGGTTAAAATCTAGGGAACTAGAACTGAAAATTTAGAAAAGAAATGGTAGTAATTTGTTTGTTAAAAGTAGGTGTGATGTTGGATAGTTTAATAAAGAAGCTAGAAAGAATTCTCAGAGTAACTTAGGCACTAAAACCAGAAAGAAAGGTAAAGGGAATGGGAAACCTAAGGGAGAATCTAGGAAATGCTTCTTTTGTAATAAACCAAGACATCTTAAGAAAAATTGTTACGAATGGATTAAAAAGCACAAACAAACCAGTACTGAAAGCAACCTAGCTAGCACAAGCAGTAACATTGAAATCTCTGAAGCACTTACTGTTTCCAATACTGTTAGGGTTAATAAGTGGGTGTTAGATTCTGGTTGTATTTTCCATATGAGTCCAAACAGAAATTGGTTTCAAAGACTTAAAATTGGTGAACAAGAAACAGTGTTCATGGGAAACAACCATTCCTATGAGGTCCAAGGCATAGTTGATATAGCCATTAAACTAAATAATGGTAAGTAATACTACTAACTAGGGTTAGATAAATACCTGAGCTTAAACAGAATATGATTTCACTAGGAATATTAGATGAATCTTGTTGTTCCTATAAAGCCCAAAATGGATGCCTAGAAGTGTACAAGAATGGTAATGTTTTGCTTAAGGGTGTTAAAAAGAATGGATTGTATATCTTATGTGGATACTACTATCCTGATGTTTTCAATACTGCTCTATTGTCCACTAACATGTCTACTGCAGAGAAATGATATTTGAGATTGGGCCACATAGGCCAAAATGGCATGAATGCACTTAGACAGCAGGGCTATTTTGGTAATGATTATGTTTCTGATTTAAATTTTTGTGAGACCTGTGTTCTTGGTAAACAGCACATGATGAGTTTCCAAAAAGGAACTCATCTTGCTACAAATTGTTTGAACTATGTGCATGCAGACCTTTGGGGTCCAGAAAGTGTCAAGTCACATGGAGGGAACACATATTTCCTCTCCATTGTAGACGATTATAGCAGGAAGATATGGGTATACCTTCTTAAGACTAAGGATGAAGGCTTGACTAAGTTCAAAGGCTGGAAAATCTTGGTAGAAAACCAAATAGACAAAAAAGTCAAGGCCCTTAGGACCTAGGTCCCTAAATGTGTATTTTTAGGATATCAAAGGGACCAAAGGGTATAGGTTGTGGGAAAAAGATGCTCCAGGGTTCAAGATATTAATCAGCCGTGATGTAGTCTTTAATGAGATTATGTTTCCTTGCAAGCTTTCTAATAACAATGCAGGTAAGTCAAGGAGTGATTCTGAGAGTTCTGATCAAGCTGAGAAATCTTAGTTTGAGGTGGAGCCAGCAAGCTTGGCTGAGCACCCTGAACAACCAGAAGCTGTTGAACCAGAAAATTATTCATTGCCTAATAATGAGGACCAAGATGAAGAAGGGGAACTGTCTGAAAACATTGAAGAAGCCCAAAATGACAACTTGGTAGAATATCAGCTAGCAAGAGATAAAGTTAGGAGGGAGATAAGGCCCCCTACTAGGTTCAGTTATGCTGACCTAATCTACCTAGCCTTGGTTGCTGGTGTAGAGATCCAAAAGGTTGAGCCTGAAACCTATGAAGAAGCCATGAGTTACAGAGATAAAGATAAATGGATTTCAACCATGAAGGAAGAAATGAAGTCTTTAAAGCTGAATAAGACATGGTCCTTGGTCTCAAAACCAACTGACCAGAAACTGGTAGAGTGCAAATGGCTTTACAAGTTAAAGGAAGGCATAACAAGCTTAGACCCGCCAAGATACAAAGCCAGACTTGTGGCTAAGGGCTTCATACAGAGAGCAAGTATTGACTTTACTGAAATCTTTTCATCTGTAGTTAAGTTTAAAACTATTAGGCTAGTATGCTATCAATTGTGGCTCATTATGATTTAGAATTGGAACAATTGGATGTTAAAACAACATTTTTGCATGGTGAATTGGAAGAAAAGATATTTATGAGTCAACCTATTGGGTTTAGGGATAGGAACCTGCTTGAACATGTTTGCCTATTGCATAAGTCTCTTTATGGCCTTAAACAATCCCCTAGGTAGTGCTACAAGAGATTTGACTCATTCATAGTCGAAGTTGGGGTTACTAGAAGTATATTTGATAACTGTTTTTATTTTGCTTACATAAATAACATGCCTATATACCTGCTATTGTACGTAGATGATATGCTATTAATATGCAAATCTAAGTCACACATAGATGAACTAAAAGCAAAACTAAGTGCTGAGTTTGACATGAAAGATTTAAGTTCTGTAAAAAGGATTTTGGGGATGATAATTGTTAGAAACATGAAACTAAATAGGCTAAAGCTTCACCAACTGCCATACCTACAAAAACTAACTTCTAGGTTTGGAATGGCTGAATCTAACCTGTAAACATACCTTTAGCTGGTCACTTTACCTTGAGTAAATTGCAGTGCCCAAAAATAGACGCTGAAGTGTTAAAAATAGAAAATATTCCCTACTCAAGTGCCATAGGATCTGTGATGTATGCCATGATAATTGATAAGTACCAGACCTGATTTGTCATTTGCCATATCATTATTAAGTAGGCTTATGTCAACACCAAGAATAGAACATTAGGTTGCATTAAAATGGCTACTTAGATACATTAATAGTACAATGCATATTGGATTAGATTTTTGCAAGAGAAGCAATACACTTGATCTTGTTGGGTATGTACTCTGATTTTGCAGGTGATCGAAACTCAAGGAAGTCCACTACAGCCTACTACTTCACCTTAGGAGGCAACTGCATTAGTTGGGAATCACAATTGCAACCATTAGTTGCACTGTCCACAATAGAAGCTGAGTATGTGGCAGTGGCTGATGCTTTTAAGGAGGCCATATGGTTGCAAGGGATCTTGAAAGAAGCAAGTTTGATGGATGGACTTGTGACTGTGCATTCTGACAGTCAAAGTGCCATTCACATAAGCAAGAACCCCATATATCATTAGAGGATGAAACACGTGGATGTGAAGTATCATTTTGTGCGAGACCAAATCTCAAAAGGGAAGTTGAACCTGCTGAAAATACCAACTGAAGAAAATCCAACTGATATGGGGACAAAAGTGGTGACTCTTGCAAAGTTCAAGCATTGCTTGAACTTATTGCACATCAACTGATCCAAATGGAGTTGAGAAGGAGTATGTGAGAAACTTGCTGCACTGATGGTTTGTTGTTTGGAGTAACGGTTTCAAGGTGGAGATTGTTAATATGTGAAGCCATTAAAACTATGTCATATTGGGCTTTATTGATATGCTGCCGTTTCAGCTAATCTGTCTTGCATTTCTGACCTTTGATCTCCAAGCAATCCAATGGTTGAAGACTCACATGCTGGTCAACCATATAAAAGTTGAAGCTTTCCCAAATTGTATAGTCCCTTTCAATCGAATATCTCAATCTGTAAACTCTCTGCTATGGTTCTTTGTAGAACAGTTTACTCTTGTGTAAATCAGTCATAGATCCACCCAAAAAGTTGTGTTTCTTTGTAGGTAGAGAATCAGGGTTAGAATTCTCTTTAGGATTATAGATTTATAGGTATAAGAGTGGTGCTACCGTGATTCTTGTAAGTGAGGGTTTGAAGGGAAGATTGAGTGTGTGATCTGTAATCTTTGGTGACAGTAATAATGTACAACGAGCCTCCATATTTTGGAGTTCAACGTAGACGTAGCTTGTTTAATCCTGAACAAGTGAACCACAGTAAAAGATCATGTGTTGTTCTTTCTTGTTTTTGATCTTTGTTTGGTTGGTTAGAATCTTGATTTTGGTTAGGTAGACTTGGTTTTACAACAGAATCAATTAGCCTACACAAGACTAAAGGAGGCAAAAAACAAGAGAAGACAAATGCTTTCCTCTTCCTACCTCAGGACACTCCCTAGGTTAGGAAACAAAAATCAATAAGCCTATATGGATTGAAAGAAAACAATAAAAAGACCTATTCCTACCTTAGGACATGCCCCCAGTTAGGAACAAAACAAAACAAAAACAATAAAAATGGGAAACTCCGCCTCTTTTTTGCCTATCTCATCATATCAAACAAGATAGGAGAAAAGAGAAATGCTCATGAAACCTCGGAATCCGCTCTGAACAAGAACTCAGACCGAAGGGAAAACTTCTCTACTTTCCTTTTTTTGTTCTTTTTTGTTTTCGTGGGTACTGTTGCCCAGAGAGAGCACGTGCTAGTCCCATGAAACTAGCCCTATTTCAATAATTTTTTTTTTTTTTTTTTTTTAAGAGCTGTATGTAAAGTATTCTAATTTATATAGTCAATTCACAACATCCAAATGGTATTTTTCAGAAGTATTGATCGATATAAAATGCCCAAAAATGCAGTATCTTAAGCATATCCTATCTGTACATAAGAATTCTCCCTACCCTCATCAAGTTAGCTAAAATATGATTTAACAATTTCTTTCATAAATTGATAATAATAATAAAGTCAAATTCAATTTTATTAATTAGTATACATGAGATAGTACAATACCATGATGATGAACTTGACATCTATGAGGCGATATTTGGTTTAGAAATTAACAAGGTCCTTTAAATTGATAGGAATGCAGACTGATTCATCGTTGATGCAACGGGAAGCTACTAATGAATACATAGCTTCTGTAAGATGATAACCATCCCAAAAACAGTGTTCATCTACATTTGGGCATGGCTTCGACTTTGGAATGCACAATGTTGTCCCATTCAACCATGCTGAGCAACATGGATTCCTCGCATCTGTTATGCCTGCAAAGGTTAATTTCATGAATAATATAATATCCAACGTTTAAGAGTTTTCCCTATAACTAAATGATCTATTCAGTGCCATGGATATATACATACTCCAATGAAAACTTTTATCCTATATTGAGTAAAAAAATTACCATATTCAGAAGGGTTTATTGCTGCATCATAGACTAACCAATAAGAGTGGCCAAGAACAAAGTTCGAGCCCTTGAGGGTTGTGGTCAAATTCTTAAGCATCGCAGGAAGCCTGTTGTTGAAATATTGAACAAGCTGGTTCTTTTCTTCAACACATGTTCCATTTTGTTTATGATTCCTTGTGATCCAAGGGATGCAGCCGAGTGGACCGATATCGAACGTGATTGCCTTTCTGACTCCAATGTTGTATAGCCTCTGCAGATACAAAATGAGCATCATAAACCTCCAGATTACGAGCAGCTGCAGCTGCTAATTAATTAATTAATCTATAATTACTTAATAATCAATCAACTGTCTGTTTTATTCAATTCAAACCTTATCATATTTTTTGCGGGTAAAAGAAGGAATTCCAGCTATATACTAATTTATCTTAAACTTACCTTCTAAGTGTCATATATGCACATGTAGTATTAAGATCAGCAAACCAAATATATTCACATCCTTTAAAGTAAATTAAATAACATGGTTTATAGTGCAATTTATGGTATAATATTAATTTTTTTGGCAGTGTGACACATATTGAACAACTCATAAACCTATTTTAATACGACCAAGTAATCAAAACTAGTTAATTTAGAGTGTTTTACACAGAGAGTGAACCTCAAGCTGCCGGGAGAGTGAATCTACGAGGAGTTGAGCGAATGGTTCGGGGCCAAAACGTTTGCTTGTATCGGACAACTCGGTGTCAAAATAATTACTTAAGTAGTCGTTACTGCCAATGGAGATTACGACTATTGACTTTGATAGATAATCTGAAAGCTTCTCTGGGTTGGAGTTGAAATGGCTTGGCAGCTTTGACTTCACTGTCTTTTCGAATAAACCAAACTGTTCTTCCAAACTCAGGCACTTCCCCTGCAAATTAGAAATTACTATTGAAGAATTTAACTGTACAACTATAAAAGATTCTTGACTGTGAGACACATGATCGATCCTGAATCGAAGGAGTCTTGTATTTTATTATTTTCTTTTTAACAAAGAATTAAGTGTTATAGTATCATATTTCTTGTAGCAAATAATTGATCTCGATCTTCCATAATCTCTCCCTCTGCTTATAATTGTAATTTTCTCTTAAGCAAAGGATCAGCACAGATCATGTCAACCTGGCAATATTTATATAATAAAATTACAGAAAAAATATAATCCAGTCTAACTATAAAGAGCTAATTAAGACAAATAATGCAATTAATACACTGCCAAAATAATAAGAGAGAAAGGAAAATATTGTTTAGTTTAATCAAAATCTTACTAATTGACGTCCAGTTTCTGGGAGGATGCCGCATCCACCAGATGCATAATTCAACCCCGTAAGTGGTACAGAGTTATTCACACTCAGACATGGCGGAGAATATGGTAGGCCAAGGAATTCAGCTGGAAAAAGAAGTTGATATAAGAGAATTAAGCATCCATGCAGTTCAACTATTATAAGATAGATCGATATGATAATATGAAGAAATGAAATATATATTGAAGTTTAATGAGTATGATGGTTCTATATATACCCACAAAATCCGCGAGTGTTTTGCCATTAGTGAATCTCCCTGTATGTCCCCGGGGGAAGTTGGCTCCGTATGGGAGATAATTTACTTTAGCAATGGTTGGCAAAATATTGTTATTGCCACTGTCAAGCAAGGAGTCTCCAAACACATACAGTGCTGGTGCAAGCGGTGGCTGCGGGGATGTGCTACTTGTCGCAGGGAAAAGACATTGAAAGAAAATGAACAAGAAAGCGAAGGGCGCCATTATAGATAATTTTCTGCTCATCTTTGAATTGGGTATTTTTTAACACAAATGTTTAAGTAGTGATTATAGAGAGAAGAAAAGTAGATACATGTGTGTGTGTATATATATATATATAAGTAAGGTAAACGTGTCTTAAATGAAGGGGTATTCACATGGAAGAATAATGGCGCATATATTATTTAATGATAATAAAATTTATTATATTGATAAGGCTTGGCTAGACTAGCTTTAATTTTGACTTGGTATTTACAAGTTATTCGAATGATTAGTCAAATGATCACGAACAACTCGTTTTGTTAATCGAATGACCATTCTGTGTTCGTTCGAGTTCGAACACGATTTCAAATAACCCTTTATGTTTATCGAACGATTTTCGAATGAGGGTGTTTGTTCATGTTCAGTTCGTTTGCAGCCTTAGTGTTCGGACTATCTTACGTGTACCTCAACTAATCCTTTGGAACCCTGGAACCATTGACCAGGTAAGAGCTCCAATGGTTACCTTTATTAGCAACTGAGGAGGAATTCAGACTCAGAACCTCTTGAATAATACACCCAAGAGTCTTTATAAAACCACTCGACCACCCAAAGATAGTTTTTTTTTTTTTTTTCTTAAGTAATGTGTTATCTTAAGTTATGTTTTGTCTTATGTATAGTTAACATATCATTGACCATCTCAACTTTTTATTTACACATCAAAACCATTTAAGACATCATAATACTTGAGATGAGAATTTGAGATATCATTTAGGAAAGTGTAGTATTACTCATTATATAATTCACAACATCAAAATGGAAATATTTCATAAATATCGATAGATATAGAATGTCCAAAAAAGTTATCTTAACACCTTCTCTATAGAGCAATATTATTATTTTTCATTTTTTGTCAATTCAAAAACTAGCGGCTTAGGAAAAAAAAAAAAAAATCCTAATTTCAATCAATTTAGTTGTAGTTATTAATATTCGTATACAGATAGTATAATATCATGACGGTGAACAATCGACATATTTGAGAGAAATTTCTTCAAACATCAACCAGGTCTTTTAAGTTGAGAGGAATGCAAACTGATTTGTCGTTGATACAACGGGCAGCTATGAGAGAATACATAGCTTCTGTGAGGTGATAACCATCCCAAAAATAGTGTTTATCGACGTTTGGGCATGGCTTCAACAATGGAATGCACCCTGATGTCCCATTAAACCATGCTGTGCAACAAGGATTCGTTGCATCCGCCATGCCTGCATGCAAAAACATTTCATGAATAATATTTAAGAGTAGTTTTTGTTATAACTCTATTCAGTTTCATGGTTACTTCAATGAAAAATTTACCGTATTTTGAAGGGTTTATTGCTGCATCATAGCCTAACCAATGAACATGGCCAAGAACAAAGTTGGAGCCCTTGAGTGTTGTTGTCAAATTCGTAAGTATGGCAAGAAGCCTGTTGTTGAAATATGTAACAATCTGGTTCTTGTCTTCGACACATTGTCCATTGTGTTTATATTTCCTAGTGATGGAAGGGATGCAGCCGATTGGACCGATCTCGAACACTATTACCTTTCTGGCTCCAATATTGTATAGCCTCTGCAAGTATAAAATGAGCATCATAAACCTCCAGAAGACGACCAAATGATAATCAAATCTGCTTAATTTTGTATGTTCAGAGAGCTAGAATGAACCTCAAGCTGCCGAGAGAGTGAATCTACGAGGAGTTGAGCGAATGGTTCGGGAGAAAAACGTTGGCTTGTATTGAACAACGTGGTTTCAAGATAATTATTTATGTAGTCGTTACTGCCAATGGCGACTGCCACTATAGACTTTGATAAATAATCTTCAAGTTTTTCTGGGTTGTTGAAATGGCTTGGCAGCTCTGAATTCACAGTCTTTTCGAACAAATCAAACTGTTCTTCCAGATGCAAGCATTTTCCCTGCAAATTAGAAATTAACATCGAAGAATTTAATTGTAAAACTACATATTATACAGTCACTAATAGCGAGACACTAATAAGGGCTGTTATTAGGGTTTTTATTCGACCAACAGTTCTAAGGCTCTAAAAGGAAAGGTACAGACAAGTTAGTCTGAACACTCCGATGATAAAAAAAATAATAAATAAAAAATTCAATTTGAAGTGATACTTCTAGTTAAACTACTAAACTAGGGAAGTTAATTAGTTTCATTTATTGGCTTAGCCAAATGGATAGCTGGACCGGAACAATTGGGAAAAACCCTGGTGACTGAAATGATAATTACAAAAATACCAGAAATATATACAAATTAAATGATGGTATAGCCACTCAAAACAAATTATTATACATATACATTAGGAGGAAATAAATCTAGAGTAGATTAAACCTACATTATAAATAATTTATAAATGTAATGAAATATAAATATTACTGAATCCTCGATAAATTTCAAGGTTATGTTGATCATATTAAAAAAGAAATTACAATATCTTAAATTATTTACATATTAATCACATAATTTTGGCACATATAAATGGAAAAAAAAATGTTTGGTTCATTTTTTAAGTACACAATAAAATTACAGAAAAAATATAATCCATGTTAAGGAGAATGATCATTTTTTTTTTTTTTTTTAATGATGAGGGTGCATACCTCAATAAATCCCTCGAGGTCTTAAAACTACTATACAGGTAAGAGCTCTCATGAGTATTCCTATTATCAAACCGAGAAGTAGTTTTTTTTTTTTTTTTTTTTTTTTATAACTAGGGGTATTCGGGCGCACCTTAATTAATTAATCCTCTGAGATATTGGTAAGAGCTCTTACCCTTATTAACAACCTATAAGAGATTTGAACTCAAGACCTTTTAAGTAATATATCTAAGAATCCTTATCGAACCACTCGGTCACCTAAGTTAATTTAAAGAGCTAACTCGGCCAAGAGAAATAATGCCAAATTAATTAATAAAGAGGAAAATATATGTTCAATTTATTTAATCAAATTCTTACATATGGACGTCCAGTTTCTGGGAGGATGCCGCATCCGCCAGATGCATAATTCAACCCCGTAAGTGGTATAGAGCTTTTGACACTCAGATATGGTGGAGAATATGGTAGCCCAAGAAATTCAGCTGAAAAAACACAAATTATCATAACACAATTAAGCATGCATGCAATTCAACTATTATAATTAGAAAAAAAGATCTAATATAATGAGTATAAATTCATATATATACCTACAAAATCCGCGAGTGTCTTGCCATTAGTGAATCTCCCTGTATTCCCCGTGGGAAAATTGGCACCATATGGCGAATAATTTGCTCTAGCAATGGTTGGCAAAAGATTGTTATTGCCACTGTCAAGCAGAGAATCTCCAAATACATAGAGCGCTGGTGCAAGAGGTGGCTGCACGGCCGCCGCCGCCGCCGTGCTACTGATCAAAGGGAAAAAACATTGAAAGAAAACGAACAAGAAAATGAAGGGCGCCATTACAGATAACAATAATAATTTTCTGCTCAAACTTTCAATAGGGGAATTATGAACACATGTTTTAAGTAGCAATTATATTTATATGGTGAGATAGATATAAACACAACAGAAAAGTAACGTAAATGTGTGCTAGTTTGTTTGTTTTTGCGAAAGAAAGTGACATAAATGAAGGGGGGAATTCACATGGAATATCATAGGGCATGGATCAGGCAATTCGAGAAGGTGGAAGAGTAATGGGCGCATGTATTATCTACTGCTATCACAAAATTCATTACTTTGATAAGGTTTGTTAAGCAATTTTGACCTGAAAACAGTTCGACAAGTATTTATTTTAATTTGTTTAATCTAAGCAACAGCTAGCCTTCATATTTATATAATATATTAATGATTTCTCCATTCATGATTCATCTAATAATAATCTTTTTCTTATGACAAAATCAGCATTTGAGCACGATTTATCAGTTTCAAAGGAGATCGAGTTCACACATATATACTGAGCACGTATGCATTTACTTTATGACACTTAGTCATGTTCTGTATTGTTCATTTAAGAAAATCCAGCAGTAGAGTCAGCATTAGTAATCAAATTATGGAGGTTGAAAGAAAGGATGAAATATAACCTAAAAAACAATGGGATTTTGGCATGTTTTTAACATATTGCACAGCTTTTTGCAGCAATATACGGAAGGTATTGCCTCAGCAAACTAGAAATTTTGGATTGTGCGGAATTATGGCTTGTAATATAATATTTCCAGGAATGTGTTGGTTTCGTGTAGAGTGAAGGCAACCAAGCGGCTGATCTTGGAATGCAAGTGGATACATGATTTAGAAATCCATCGACAGCCATGAAAATTTGTAATGAAAACGTAATGTCCCATATTTATATTAAGTTTACTCAAGTTCCAACTCTAACAAATTAAGAGCCGGTTGGGCTTGTCTAGGGTGTCTGGATCAGTTTGTATGCACCTTAATTATTTTTTAGGATCCTGAAATTACTGATCGGATAAGAACTCTAGTATCTATCACGATGACTCGAACTCGGGAGAGATTATGTAGACTTAGATTATCCTCTACTCTTTTACTATTAGGTAATCCAATGGTATTTGGTTGGGTCTGTCTTCCCTTCCCTTCAAAAGATTGTCCACCAAATCAATTAACATGCATTTTCATGGACCTAAAAATGCAAATATGGAAAGAAAAATACTTCTTGGCAACATTAAAACATGAGAGTTTCTTTCATTAAATTAAAGAGTCTCGCAAGGGTCCATTGTAATATTCGGTTTTAATATATTAGGAAACTTCTATATGTATTATCACACCTTTAACTAATTGGGTAAGGATGAGAATTAATTCATAGATATGGATAAAAACATAATGATCTTCATCCAATAGAATCAAACCTTTACGTTTTCCCGGAATTTTCATTAATTTCTCTTGGGATTTAATTAATATAAACAATTACTCTCATTTAATTTTGGTTTCACTTCTAAACGCATGCGATGAAGGTAAAAGGTTAATCTGTGACGATCAACTTCCATGAAAAAGTTTTAAGGGATGTTTTCAAATGCATATATAGGTCAAATTATAGTATCTTAATTATTTGACTTCATTTAAGACACTGATTTATAGCAATTGATAAATCACAATCTAAGAGACATCTTCCAATGACTCTTTATATGACTTAAACTCTTTATTACGAAGAGTTTTTTATTCTTTAAATATAAATTAAAGAGTGAGTTTGACTTTCTAGATCTAGAGAGTCAAATTTCACTCTCTATCATAATTTTAATTAATAAATTACAAGTTTTTATAAATTTTATTTATTAATTCTCTCTTCTATTAGAGCATCTTCAATTGTGCTCTTTATTTTAAAGAGCATCTTTCATGTAAATAAAAAGCATCTTCATTGATTTTTAATATAAAAAACAAAATTTTTATTCAAATCCAATAAACTCTTTAAATTTTAGGAGAGAGTACATGGTTTTTCAAGAAAGAAATTTAATATGAGAGATAAATCATAAATAAAATACATAAAAACTTATAATTTATTATTTAAAATTAGGATAGAGAGTAAAATTTGACTCTATACATGTGCAGAGTCAAACTCACTTTTTAGTTTATATTTAAAGAATAAAAAGTCCATTGGACTCTTATTTTTATGGATAAACTCTTTATAATAAAGAGTTTGGATCATATAAAGAGTTATTTGAGATGCTGTTAACTCTCTTTCTTGAAAATAAGGAGCATCTTTATTAAATTTAAAGAGTCTATTGGATTTGAATAAAAAATTTGTTCTTTATATTTAAAAAATAATGAAAATACTCTTTATTTATATAAAATATGCTCTTTAAAATAAAGAGTACCATTGAAGATGCTCTAACAGTGGAAAAGATGATACTTTATATATATATAATGATGATTTGCAAACCTTGGTGAGATCAAGTTTGTAACCTAAATCTTAAAGAGGAGGTTAATAAAATTTACCTGCTTTTAAGGAAAGGTACAAGATTTTCTATTAGCTGTTTTACTTAGTTTCACATTTGAAAATTGCAACTTCCATTTTTCTTTTAATCGAAGTATCCGGACTAATTTGTACGCACTTCAACTAATTACTGGGGTCTATTCAAAAAAAAAAAAAAAACTTTTTGCAACCAATTTTTTTGCAACTAGGCAAAAATAGTTGCATATGCCTTACATTTAGTAACTAATTCCAATCAGTCGGCCAAAGGGGAATAAAATTCTAAGGCCCATTTATTCTCGCCTTTGGCGTCTAAAATTAATATTCTGCGACTAATTTGATTTGTTGCCCAAAATATCACATTAGCGACTAATTTATTTGATTGCTAATTCTTGCGCGAACACAATTGGCAACTACAATAAGAGATTTCGCAACTAAAATTATGGTTACAGATAACAATTATTTTCAACTATTGAATAGTTACTAAATTAGATACAAATATTAATTAATTAATTTGTAACTATTTTTATTAGTTACAAATAATACAATTACCGAAATATCCAAACTTCTGACAATAATTACAAAGGGCCCATGGTGCATTTGGCAACTAATTATTTTGTACATATTACAAATAGTTGCAAAAACTCATGTACAACAACTAAAATGTATTTAGTCGCTGTATGCTTATATGTACTCTTTATTGATTGTATGTTTAAATATAGTTAATGACCTAATTTCGTGAGATTAATTTGATAGAGTGACTTAAATCTTTCCTGCTATTTTTTCTCTTATATTGATGTTTGCAGATTCCAAAGATGGCCCTTGGTATAAGAAGGACTGTAGCTAGACGTGCAAATGCTATTCGGACGAATTAAAGTGCTGAAACGACTCCTAAAACTGCTGCAAACACTGGTAAAGTTATAATATTAGTCAACTTAAGTATACTGAAATATATACTTGGATTTTAGATATTGTCTCCAATGTTTACTTAAAATTTAAGAATCCATTTTACTTTACCAATATGCAAACAGTCCTTATGATAACATATTATTTACTAATGATGCATTATTTTGATTTTGTAGGCAATATTGTGGCAAAGAATGTGAGAGGAAAGACTAGAGGTCGGATGTGAAAGACTCATACAAATAGCCAAGTCGAAGTTGCATGTAGACTTCGAAAAAGAAGATAGAGTACCTACGGGAGTAAATGCATCAAAGTTGAGTACTAAGATAGAAATAGTAGCAAGGAACTATGCCCTCGTTAGAGTGCTTACTTGGAAGAAAGTTCACAACGATGTGGAAAAACAAATGATTGCTCGTAGCACGGTAATATGCTTCTGCTTTGTGTTATATGTTTTGATGAGAGGAATTTATGTTAGTATGAAAAGAAGCATGGAAATTGTAGTATATTGCATATCTGCCTTTCATGTTTGAATTTTGAGTTATTTATAAATATAATCCATATTCTATGTTTTGAATACCCCATTTCCTTCATTTTGGATGTAACGCTTTGAAATGAGTTAACAAGTTCTATTATCCTGCTCATTTACTTTTTAATCCTTTTTAGTTTATTCTCTTGAAATTACACCACTAAAATTATCACAACGTAAACATTAATTCAGACATACTGCACATCACTTTGGCATACCAAACACTTAAAAACTTGGAGAATCTTTTACGAGGAGATTGGAAAAACTAGAACGATTGTATGTAACCAATCAAGCTCTCTAGAGACTTATATGCAAAACCTCCTGTTAGAGAAAGATCCACTTTGTTGATGCGTGATTTTGACACCAACTAATAGACACGTGCGCAACGCTGGTTGGCCATGAGATACACGTGAGTATGGATAAAGTGTATAGTAAATATAGTAGTGAGAGTTTTTTAAAGTGGTTCGGATGCTAACGTAGCAAGTCCTACGTCCACCGATAGTTGTATTAATATTGTGGGTCAGGTCGCAACAGTGGACTGACTTACAAATGATTAGTGAAAAGTAAATGCAAAAATACAAGAGAGAGAGGGATAGCTAATTCAGAGTGTAAAATGGCCGAATCCCTTCAATGAAGGGGTCTTCTCCTTTTTATAGTGAGATGAGTACAAGTAATTATCATTAAATCTGTGGGTTGGTGTGAATGTCAGGACAAAATCCGGCTTTATGTCACATTGCCCACCTTCCAAACTGATTTCACGCGATTTGGAGCAGGGAATGGACACGTGGGATCTCCACAGCGTCTGGCAGGTCTGGCGTGCGCTTACCGTTCTGACGAGAGCAGGTCACACTCCATCACGTGATTTCTCACGTCAGCCCTTGATTTCCCAGGCATAACTTACGGTTCTCCCCGAAGAAAGTCGGGACGCGAAGAAGCTCGTGACGACTGCAAACTTGCAGAAGTACAGTTTTTTCAGCAATAACGCGTCTTTAGAGTCCCCAGAGTGTAAGTTGGGCTGACTGATTCCCTTCTGGTTGTAGAATAATTTTTGTCTAGTTACTAACGTACTTGCATGCAGCGACCATGCCTCAAAAAGAGTCTGAGCAGCCCCGGCGAGCGCCATTTAACTTCTCTCGATTGAGAAGGGTCAAGGCGGTCGAAGCTGCTCGCCCCATAGCGGCACAACCGGTGCGAACTGCCGCGCCTTCCCAGCGCCATCCTGAGGAAGAAATGACCAGGTCAGAACAGGTTGCTCAGCCATCGCCTGGTCGCCCGAGGCAGAAGACAATGGCTCAGCGGTCGAAGAAGAGGAAGCAGATTCAGGTCGACGAGTCAGAAACTGAATCTAAGGGTGATCAACCCTGAGGTCGCGGCAGGACACTGGAAGGAGGTCGGGCAAGGAACTTGCGGATGAGGCGGTTGCTGCCGACAAGGCGAAGGACACACCAGTGCTGGAGACGCTGGGGAACCTGCCCGAATACCTGCAGCCGATAGCCTACTCTCTACTTGAGTGTGGATTATCGGATTCATACGATGAGTTCACCGATACGGGTGATGTTGACCTGATGACCATGTCGGTTCAGCATCTAAGCAAGGTGAACGAACTGTTCTTGAAGAGTTTGTCCGCCATTTTCATTCTAACTCATTTCTTGTTCGCAGGCTCTGCTCGCCATGAGAATGTCCCTGGAAAAGGCTCGGCTGGGAGCTGCGAAAGGGGAAAATGATCTGAAAGAGGAGATCGCGAAGCTCAAACAGAGCTTGGAGGACGTCGAAGTGGAAAGAGCGTTGTCCACTGAGGCAGCGAATAGATACTTGAAACAAAAGACGGCCGCTATGCGCACAGTGGACTTTCAAAAGATGGAGCCTGAGCGACGCGCGGAGGAAGTAAAAGAGCTTCAGAGGACAACCGCTAGACTCTCCAAGGAGGTCGGAGAGAAAGACCAGGAGCTCCAGACGACCTTAATGTGGGCTCAGCGAGTAGAACAAGAAATGGAGGCCTCCGAAAAGAAAAGGCTAGCTTTGAGGCCGAGCTCTAGGAGAGTCGGGGAAAGGTTGCTTCCCTGACTGAAGAAATGCAGAGCCAGTCAGAAGAGGTTGAGGATAAGGCTATCGATTGGGCGATCGGGTCCATTTATTCCCTGCAACCAAAGAACCCAAATCTGGATATGTCCGATCTCCCAGGGGAGTGGCAGGAAGCCTTGCAGACCTTGGCAATGGAAGATGATAAAGCAGCGGCCGCTCGAGGATCCGACCAGGCAGAGGGTTCGGGTTTTGCTTCGAAGAAACCCCCCACCGACTAGGCCTAGTGCGATGAGGCCGACCCAATAGGAGTCAATAGGGTCAACAGTTTTTGTTGTACATAAATGAAATACATTTTGTTTTCAATTGCTGTTTGCTTAATCATACATGAGTGCAATTTACAATTCAGTTTATTTACATAGGCAATATTACATGCGAACTGTTACAAGCGAACAGAATAATATTTTACAAGGAAAAAGGAAACTTTAACAAAATCAAAAGCTAATTTACAATGAGAGCTAAGTTCGGGATTGCTGATAGTATGGCCGGAGGTGTTTGGCATTCCAAGCTCGGGATACTTTAGAACCGTTCAGCCTTTTGAGATGGTAAGTCCCCGGTCTGATCACCTTGTCGACCCGATACAGACCTTCCCAGTTCGGTCTTAGTACTTCCGCACTTGGCTCCCTGGTTCCGAGGAGAATTTCTTTTAGCACAAGGTCATCGACCTGGAAGTCTCTTCGCTTGACCTTTGAATCAAAGAACCTTTTTGCACGTTACTGGTAGGCTGCTATCCTTAGCGAAGCCTTGCTGCGGTGTTCTTCAATAAGATCCAGACTCGCTCTCATAAGTGCTTCGTTTTCAACCTCATCGTACAAGTCCCTCCGAAGAGATCCAGTTCCTACCTCTATAGGAATCATTGCTTCGCAGCCATAGGTTTCTGAGGTGGAAGTTCTCGGAGTTGTCCTGTATGCCCATAGGACTTCAGAGAGATCGTCGGCCCAATTTCCCTTGGCTGCCCCAAGTTTGGCCTTTAGAGTGTGCTTGATGGTCTTGTTGACAGCTTCAACTTGGCCATTTGCTTATGGTCTTGCGACTGGGGCAAATTTTTTATGGATGCCCAACTTGTCGCAGAACTGCTTGAACTCCTCGTTGTCGAATTGCTTTTCATTATCCGAGATAAGGGTGTGAGGAATTCCGTAGCGGCACACTATATTCTTGAAAACGAAGTCTTTCAGCTTTCTGGTCGTGATCGTGGCCAGCGATTCAGCTTCCACCCATTTTGTGAAATAGTCTATCGCGACCACGGCATACTTAACTCCCCCTTTTCCGACTGGCATGGGACTGATAAGGTCGATCCCCCACATGAAAAATGGTCAGGGGCTAGTCATCTTTATCAGCTCGTGAGAGGGGGCTTGCGGAATGTTCGCGAATCGCGGATACTTGTCACACCTCTTAACAAAATTGCAGGTATTTTCTTGGACCCGAGGCCAATAATACGCGAGAGATCGTGCGGTAGTGTGATTACCGCAAATCCTTTCATGAATTTCCCTCATGATATAATCTACCTCTTCACTAGTCACACATCGGAGGAGAGGGGCACTGAATCCTCGCCTGTATAGCTGGTCTTCGACGAGAGAATAACGAGCAGATCTTGTTCACAGGACCCGTGCCTCGACCTTGTCGTCGGGCAAGATCCCATCCTTGAGATACCAGTAAATGGGCGTCATCCAGGAATCTGATTGTGTTACATTCACGACCTGTTCGATCGGGCTAATGCTCGGGGCCTCGATGAACCGAACAAGAATGCTATCAGGTGCCTCTAAGTCCAACGATGAGGCTATCTTTGCCAAGGCGTCCACCATAGAGTTGCTATCTCTAGGGATCTGAGTGATTGCGAAGTGCTTGAATGGCTCGAGCGTGGCCTTAGCTTCTTTCAGATAACGGATCATGTTTTCTTCCTTAGCTTGGTATTCTCCTAGGATTTGGTTGACGACCAGCATAAAGTCGCTGTGAACGCTGATCGCAGTTGCGCCCATTTCTCTAGCCAACCGTAATCCAACAAGCAGAGCTTCATACTCAGCTTCGTTGTTGGTCGCCTTGAATCCGAACCGCAGGATGCCGTGAATGTGAGCCCCTTCGGGACTCAAGAGGAAGAGACCTGCTCCTGCCCTTTTCCTAGTCGATGACGTCGACATAGAGGCTCCAGGTCAATAGGTTCTGAATGGTCTCTTGGATGGCTTCGCTGGGCTGTTGCTCTGACTCATTCGGGAGATAAGAGAATTCTGAAATGAAGTCAGCAACAGCTTGCCCTTTGATGGTCGACCTAGGCTTGTACTTCAGGTCGAACTGGCTTAACTCCATGGCCCATTGAGCAGTTTACCCGAGGCTTCTAGCTTCTGGAGGACCTACCTGAGGGGGTAATTAGTCATTACGTGGATCGTATGAGCGTGAAAGTAAGGTCGCAGCTTTCTGGAAGCGATCAGCAGGGCATAGGCTAATCGTTCTATTTCCGGATACCACATCTCAGCATTCGACAGACGCTTGCTCGCGTAGCAAACAGGCCATTGAACTTTTTCCACTTCTCGAACTAGGGCTGCACTGACCGCGAACTGAGAGACTGACAGGTACAGGGCAAGACCTCTTGCGGAAGAGGCTTGGAGAGGAGAGGTGACTTCTCGAGGTGTTCTTTTATACTTTGGAACGCCTGTTCGCATTCGGGAGTCCATTCGAATTTCTTATTGGCCTTCAGAACATTGAAAAACGGCAAGCTGCGATCTGTTAACCTCGATATGAAACGACTAAGTGCCGCTATTCGCCCGTTAAGACTCGTGACCTGTTTTTTGCTAGTCGGGCTTTCTATATCGAGGAGAGCTTGAATTTTTTCAGGGTTGATTTCTATTCCCCGCTGGTTAACCATGTACCCTAGGAACTTACCCAAGGATACCCCGAACGAACACTTGAGCGGGTTCAGTTTCATTCTGTACAGTTGGAGGATATCAAAGACCTCTGCGAGATGTGCTACGTGATCTAAAGCGACATGGGATTTGACCAGCATGTCATCTACGTAGACCTCCATTGACTTGCCGATCTGGTCGGAGAACATTCGGTTAACCAGCCACTGGTAGGTCGCGCCAGCGTTCTTGAGGCCGAAGGGCATGACCTTATAGCAATACAGTCCCCGATCTGTAATGAAAGATGTGTGCTCTTCATCTGGCGCATACATCAGAATCTGATTATATCCCGAGTATGCGTCCATGAAACTTAGTAGCTTGTGCCCCAAGGTGGCATCCACGAGCTGGTCAATTCTTGATAGGGGGAAGCTGTCTTTAAGGCAAGCTTTGTTAAGGTCGCTAAATTCGACGCAGGTTCGCCACTGGCCATTGGGTTTCTTTACCAGAACCGGGTTGACGACCCAGATCGGGTATAGTGCCTCCCGGATGGATCCGTTATTGAGGAGGTTGTCCACCTCTAGCTTTAGGGCAAAGTATCACTCTGGATCCATCGCTCTTCGTTTCTGGCGAACTGGTTTGGCTTCACTATCGATATTTAATGCATGACAAATTACATCTGGGCTGATCCCGACCACATTTGCGTGAGACCATGCAAACACATCGATGTTTTCCTTGAGGAAGCCTGTCAGTTCGGTAGCGAGTTGGGGATTGAGATTTTTACCGACTCTTAAAACCCTGCTCGGCTCTTTCTGGTCGACCAGCACTTCAGTCAAGTCCTCAACCGGCCCACTGGAAGGGCAGTCTTGAATGCGAGGGTCTAGGTTGTCCTCGGCCGGACTAGGTCGTGGATCGATCCTACTAATCTCCATGGCCTGCCTGTGATTGTCGTGCGTGGTGCCCTTTCTTTTGTACGCCATCTGGACCGCTTTTACATAGCAATCGCGCAATGCGCGCTGAGACCCGCTGACTTCCCTGATCCCCGTCGGGGTGGGAAACTTCATCTTCAAATGGTAAATTGAAGTGACCGCCTTGAACTGTCTTAGCAGAGGTCGCCCAAGGATCTCATTGAAGGCTGATGGGCAGTCCCACTAAGAACTCAATTACTTTGGTCACTTCGTCAAAATCGTCCAGCGTGATTGGGAATGAGATTGTTCCCTTGGGGAGTAGATGGTCTCCCGTAAATCCGTATAGCGAGAACGAGGCAGGCTTCAGGTCGGCCTCGTCCAGATTCATTCTTTCAAAAGTGGATGCGAACAGGATGTTCACAGCACTTCCGTTATCCACTAACATTCTCTGGGTGTTATAGCGCCCTATCAGGGGAGTGATTACAAGGGCGTCGTCGTGGGGATGATGCAACCTGGCCGCATCTTGTTTGGAGAAGGAGATTTCCACCTCCCTGCGAACCTTTCGTGGTCGATGTTCTACACTCATCACTCTAATGGGGTCATGATGTGCTTCGCGAACATAACTTTCTTGAGCACCTCGCGAATTTCCAATGAAGTACGGTCCCCCGAAAATCAAATTGAGACTGAATACCCTTTCTGATCGCGGCGCTTCTTACTTGACTCCCCTCGATCTTTTTCTTTCGAGAGAGCAGAGTCATCGATGTATTCCTTGAAATGCCTCTTCTTGATAAGCTCTTCAATTGCTTATTTCAGAGCTAGACACTCATCAGTATGGTGCCCATTGTCCCAATGATAGCGACAGTACTTTTTATTATTTCTGGCTATCATGGGGGTTTTCATGGGCTTGGGCTCTCCGAGCAGACTGGCTTCTTCAGATTTATCAAGAATGGCAGATACAGAGGCGTTCAGTGGAGTATATTGGTGCCTGTCGTGATCGCGATGAGGAACGTGTGCATAGGACTTTCTGGGCTCGTAGCGAAGTTTCTTCCCTTTTTGCTGATCGTCGGCGGCTCCTCCGCGATCAGCCCTTCGGCTTTCCCCCCTACTAGACATACTGCCAGAAGCACCGGAGTCGCGACGGCGAAGTGCCACCAGCGAATTTTCTATCAGGAGATATTTCTTCGCAAGGTTATAGAATCTGGTGAGGGAAACATCGTCCTCAGCCTGTAACTCTTTTCACAGGTCGGTT